ACTCCTCACCTATGCTTCTGCAGGTAACTCCTCACCTATGCTTCTGCAGGTAACTCCTCACCTATGCTTCTGTAAGCAAATCCTACAAACTCACTTGTTTGCTAAGCTATACTTGGGCAGAATTATTTTGTCTGTCATCATTGCCCTGTCTGGAGTGAATAAACATTCATGCCTCTCTAGAAAAAGACATAGAGCAAGAAGATAGAATTTTTATGACTCAGTCACTAGCCCAAGGCCATACCTCTTAATATAGGAATTGAATTTCAGCATGAAGTTTGGTGATAACACCATCATTCCAACCATACTAAAATTGGTTTATTTTTTATTATTGCAGATTCTAGGCTGACTAGTGCTATATTGCAAAACTTTTCCTTAAAAAAAAAAGCTAAGTCTAAAGCATTAGTAATAATTACATGAGTAGATCAATGTAGAGCTGATCTAGGAGCTTGATTCATCATACATTGCCAAGGTACATTCATAAATGGAAGGTGGTGCATGTGTTAGCAAAGACAGAACAGTGGTGTTTAATTAAATTTAAATTTATGCAAGAAGAGTCTGAAGAACTTGTCTGAAGAACTCCTCTTCCCTGACACTAATTAGAACAGAGAGGCTTCTAAAGAGCAAGTTGTCTGTTGAGCAGGGACCCATAATCTTTTTGATTCTTGTAAATTGTCCAGGTTATTTTGACTTTGTTAAAACATAAGTCAGGAACAGTGAGATGGCTCAGCAGGTAAAGGCACCTGCTGCCAAGTCTGTTCACCTTAGTTTGACTTCTGAGGCCCACTAACCCTTGGAAATTTCCCTGTGATTACTACATACACACCTTGGCACATGTGTGTTCACCAAATCTCCCACATGTACACACAAAACAAATAAATTAATAAAAAAACCAAAAAAACATGAATTCCATATAAAGTAAGAACTTAAATTTTTGTGAAGAAAGTGACATTTTATATTTCCATTAATTATAAAAGTACTTGCCTTGAACAACTCTACTTGGTTGATGATACTGAAGTTTGTGTCAATGGCGAGAGATAACTGCATTGCTGTTGGTAGGTTCTCAAGCAAATTGGACTCATCTTTGTAAAAATAAATACACCAATCCCAAAGTAGAATAATTAGTAAAACAATTCACCAAAGAATAAATAGAAAAATATTGAAAACGTGGACAACAAAATGCAAATGTTTTATAAATCAACATGTCTTCGTTTCAGTGTCTCTATTATGAATATTAGAACTACGTGTGTGTTTAATTTATGTGTGTGCATGTGCCATGTGTGCTTGTGTGGAGGCTAGAGTTGGACATTGGTGTCTTCTTTGATTACTCCCCACTCTCATTTTTGAGATAGGGGCTTTCATTGACCTTGGAACTTACTGTCTAGACTGGTTAGCCAATGGGCTCTAGTGATCCTCCTCCTTCATCACATTGGAGTTTTAGATGTATCCCTTCCTTGTTTTGAGAGACAAGATCTTGCAGCATAGCTCAGGTTGGCCTTGAACTCACAGCAAACTTCCTACTTTGTCCTCCCCTGTGCTGGAATCACAGGCAATTCCACCGTACACAGCCCTTCATACGTCACAATGGTGCTATTTTGCTCATGAGACCATTGAAGTATACAGATTTATTTATTTTATGTATGACTGCTCCATCTGTATGTACAACTTTATGCCAGAAGAGGGCATCTGATCCCACTATAGACAGTTCTGAGCCACCATGTGGTTTTGGGAAAAGAACTCTGGACCTCTTGAAGAGCAGCCAGTGTTCTGAACCATTGAGCCATCTCTCCAGCCTGAGAACAATGAAGTATTTTAACTACAAAATGGTATACTGAATATTCCAGAACATTATTTTTGAGACTTTAAATTATTAATTTTTTTTGAGACAGGGTTTCTCTCAGTGGCTTTGGAGCCTTTCCTGGAACTCACTCTGTAGCCCAGGCTGGCCTCAAACTCACAGAGATCTGCCTGCCTCTGCCTCCTGAGTGCTGTGATTAAAGGTATGTGCCACTACCACCTGGCTTAAGATATTAAATTTAGTGATCATGGGGCAAAGGTTAGTGAACAGGCTGAGGTGGAAAAAGGATCTAGTTCTTGTTTCTGCCAGTCCCATCAGCCCAAGGATGGCAAATGGCAATGACTGGTAGGTGGTGTTTGAAGGCATATGGAGGTCTGTCTTGTCCATTATCTTTCTTGACTTTTATAACAATCCTATGGCCAGATGTTCATTTCTACTTTGCAAATAGAAAAAAAAAACTCAAAATAATTTAAACTCAGAGAGACTGTAAATGACTTGTTGCATTGAGCAAATTAGTAGGAATCTCAACTGGGAATATAATCTAATGAGGAAATGTGCTAGCAAGTAAATTTAAATTATTGTTATTTAGTTGCTTTTTAACCCAATAATGAATCTGAACCCATTATGGATTTTTTTCCTACATGTGAATTAAGTGATGGATCTGCAAACTGACAGGATTTTTAATTAAAAAAATAAAAGGGTTCCCATTTGCTGTGGGATGTCGTTCTGTATGCTGTGAATGTGTGTTGCTCTGATTGGTTAGTAAATAAAACGCTGATTGGCCAGTAGCCAGGCAGGAAGTATAGGTAGGATAAGTAGACAAGGAGAATTCTGGGAAGCAAAAGAGCTGAGTCAGGAGTCACCAGCCAGACACAGCAAAATGAACTGAGAAAAGGTACCAAGCCATGTGGCTAAACATAGATAAGAATTATGGATTAATTTAAGTGTAAGAGCTAGTCAGTAATAAGCCTGAGCTAATGGTCAAGCAGTTAAAATTAATATAAGCCTCTGTGCATTTACTTGGGGGACATGAGTGGGAGAGATTTGACCTGACTGCTGGCCAGGCAGGACACAGGGAAACTTCCAACCACACCCATTCTTAATATCAAGTATGCTCAGTGTTTTTGAGGGTGCATTATTTTATATGTTTTCTTTTCTAAAAATAATGTGTTTGATTTCTTTGAGACAGTCTCACTATATAGCCCTGACCAACCTGGAACTTGCAATGTGCAGCAGCTAGTCTTCAATTCACAGAGATTCATTTGCCTCTCTACTGGGATTCCATGCCATCTCTCATATAAAAACATAGCTTGCAGGCTAGAGAGATGGCTCAGTGGTAAAGGGCACTTGGTGCTTTTGCAGAGAACCTGGATTCAGTTCTCAGTATCCATTTGGTAGCTCACAACTAGCTCTAACTCTAGTTGCAGGGAATTCAAAGTCATTTTCTGGTCTCTGCAGGCACCAGGCATGCATGCAGTGCACATCAATATATGCAGGTCCTCACACATACACACAAACTAAAATTAACTAGTTTTTAAAGCACCATTTCTTATTCCTGAGGGCTATTTGTCTCTAGTTACTCACTAAGCTAGAGTTGAGTCAGTGTCTGTAGCTATGACCAGAAGCCTCTCATTGCAGGTTCTTTCCTGCTAGAATTGCTCTCATGAGGATCTGTGGACACTAAAGAGAAGGGACATGGTGCTCTGATAATTCTGGGAGACTGTAGCTTCTTACCAGTGGCATACTCGTAGAGGAAAATCCTACAGCCAGAACCAATAGACACTTTCTTCTCTTAGGAAAATATGTGATTTGAGAATCTGCTATTTTCACTAAAGGAAGTAGCTTTTTGTTGACTTCTCAGTAATATTAATTCTTATTTTTAAAGAAGAAACTGAAAATTGAATTTATTGTCAACTAGCCCATAACTTACTTTAAATGCTTTAGTAAAAATTCATTTTTTGAGCTTCAGTGCTGTAGTTGCAGAGCAGACAACATTGATAAATAATGGTCTCTTAGGACTGACTGAAAACCATGCTGTGCAATGAAAATGGCCTGAAAGCTTGTGCTTTTTCTGCACACTGTGCTCCCAGGGAGAGGAACTGTCACAGACAGAACATGAGCTTGGAGAACAGATTCGGGGCTCAGTTCCAGTTATGAGTCCTTGGCCAATTTTTGCACTTAGGGGCTCTGCTATTTCCTTGGCTCTGAAAAGGGGTCAATGACACCCAATTTCCCCAATTTGTATGTATGTGTGTGATATGAGGCAAACTGTGTAATTCCTAGCATCTGGTAGGCACCGAGTAAAATTTAGCTTTTCTCTTTCAAGATTTGCCTTGGAATATGTATCTACATTTAAGAAAAAAATCATTCATATTAAATTAATGCCTGAGAGATCATTTGTTTTTAACCTGTTATTTAAATCCAAAGATCTCTTTTTTACCTCACATAATTTTTATTTTGTGATAAGGTTTACAGTAATGCAAGCCATCATTTGTTATGCTCACCTAGTAGTCTCTGAGAGTTCCATGTATATTCCAGCCAAGTCCGAACTCGATACTGCACACTCTGAGGAATTGAGTATTTGTTCATGTAGGCAATGACATGGTCCATGCAGATGTGGAAGTTGTTCTGATTGGCTGTTGCTGCTCCAATTACATCACGCATCTAAAACCATAAACATGGTCATTCACACCCAAGAGAGCAATTTTATCTGAATTGCTTGTCCTTATACAACATCCTGTCTATTACTCTGATTGTCTGACTTTAACACACTGACATCATGTCCTAATAAAATGTTGGAAATCACATTATCTCCCTGACAATAATAAGGTCCATTATACCAACCGTATGAGATTTTTGTGAGGCTTTGGTCTCATAATGCAGGTGAATGCACATAATCTTCACATACTTATATATTACCATGAAAATGATAGCTGACATTTTAAAGCAACTATAATCCCTGCACAGATGCAAGGGAAGTGTAATGAGAGTTGAGCAATTATCCTGCAGAATGGCTAGTCGATTTTGACGAGTCTCTCTACGAAAGTACCCTTCACAGATCAGCCAGGGTGGCTGGCTCTATAGGCTCAACTCATCATGCAATTTCAGACTCTGTTCTTCCTTTTGTGTTGTTTAGACAGATAAAATCAAATCTTATCATGCTCACGGCACATATTCAGCAGAAGTTGAAATGTGCTGAAATTACTGAAGCGTTGTCTGCCGCTGTGACAATCCTTAAGGAACTGTCAGGTTTAGTTCTCGGATGTTTATAACTCAGCCATAAAAACCCACTCTAGGTTAAAAGCTGATCTTTAAGGTCTCAGCACAAAAAAGATATATTGCTTGGCTCTTCCTCTCACATAGAGAGAAGCAAGTGCTTATAAATTTGCTTTGACTGTGGGTTTATTATAGGAGGAAAGCCAGGCCTCACTTTCACACTAATACTTTGCTCATTCATTCTAGTAGCTGTGGAGCCTTTTCTGCTTATGGACAAAATTCCAGTTTTTTTTTCTTTGTATTTTTTTAAAGTATAGCTCAAATACCTTTCATTATGATTTCTTCCTCAATTTACAGTTTTAGAGGTAATAGAATCTACCTTTTCTTAAAAGTATTTGCTAAGAGCTCTACAGACAGTCCTTTTATATCCATTTTTCAGACACTTTTATTCTTCAATGGCTCTCCAAATAATCTTCTACAGCCTCAATTCCTAGACCTTCTCTTTCCACGTTCATATGCCACGAACAGTATGATCCAGTTCTCTAAGGCTGTCAGACATGATGTACTAGAGGTTGAGAGATTCAACAAGGGTGTTATCTGTAATCAAGGACAATCTTAAAATGGTATTTTAACATGGTCTTGAGGGCCCAAGAATTTGTAGCGTATTCATCTGAACGTCTTATGTACTATCCTTCAGCAGTGTTGGGTCTCACTGATGTAGGCACTGAGGACAGTATGTATTCCATACGATTTCCAGTCTAGAGAAGCATATCATGGTTGGAGAGTTAGATGATGCAGAACTTGTGAGTTGTACTAGAGAGTAGAATTCAGGAGTGAAAGATGATGGCTAATTTTGAGGCATAGTCACTGTTGTGACCACATGCACGGATTTTGAATATATGGAGATTTTGTTTCTGGCTCTCTTACTTTTGTTTCCATCTCTTTCCTTCCTAGCATCTTTTATTCCCTCAGAGAGCTTAAGGCACTAGTCTTTATCTCCAGCTTTAATTTCTGGTGTACTTCAGCACCACTTTTAGGTGTTTCTTGCTGTGGTTAGATCTCCAATCCAATTTGAAAGGCAGGTGCACTACACTTATTAGATTCTCACATGCATAGGAATCACCACAAGATCTTTTGAGGTGCATGTTGTGGTTCAGTTGGTCTAAAGTAGAGTCTGAGTCCAGACTTTCTCAAGTGATGCAGCTGTGGCTATCCAGGGGAAGCATCCAGTGGTGAGGTACTCGCAGGCATCCTTTCCCCCTTTCTCTCTTTTTTGAGTTTGAAACAAATGCCAGCAATGCAGGCCTGGCTGAGCTTCAATTTGCTATGTAGACTGGGTGGCTTTGACCTTTCCCCTCCTCTTGCTTCTGCTTCCCAAGTGCTGACGTTACAGGACAGAGACATCATTTCCTAGGCTTTTGAAAATTGCTTTGCACACACCAAGGTCTCAATATGTGCTAGATTTTACTTTGACTGTCCATCTTCACATATTGTTCTATTTTAAGACAGTATGAATTACAATGTCTCTTAATCTATCTCTCCTTTTTGAGATAGGGCCTCACTATGTAGCTCTGGCTGTCCCGGAACTCACTATGTAGACAAGGCTGGCCTTGAACTCACAGAGATCTTCCTGGCTCAGCCTCCTATGTGCTGAGATTAAAGATATTTGACACTACATCCTGCTCAACCTCTTAATCTCTTTAATCTAGAGTCTCCTCATCTGTAAAAATGAGAAAACAGTGAATGTACCCCACATTGATTTTATGATGTATTATGACAAATTATATTTTTTGTTGTTTCATTTCATTTAAATTTAAATTGAAAATTTCTTCAACTAGCTTCATATTGCAACCATTAATGAATTTCCCCATCCATTGCTATAATAACTTACACTTACAATTTTTAGCTTCTTGATGTTCCAAAATTTCAGTATTCCAAATATTCCAATATTTTTTCCCCATGGAGATGTCTTTCCAACTTTTCTATATAGTCCATTAAGATGTTTGAAGTTGACATGCTCCTGTGCATTGACATTAACTGCCTTAGTATTTTTATATGTTTGTATTTGGAGGCTTGCTGACCTAAGTCCTTGCTTGCTCCTCCTGGCTACAGCCAGTTTCTGAGAGATAATGACCAATTCTCCTTAGAGTGCTTTTCATAATTCAAATTAGCTAATCTATAATTTTTATTTTTATATAGCCCTCATGTAGTCCCCCGCCCCCATTTAAGACACTACTTGTTGTACATGACAGTACTAGGTACCAGATCAATAGACCAACATCTCAAAACCTGATGAAATTATTCAAATTAGCTAGCCCTAATGTTTACTCAGCAGTAGAACTCCCCACACCCAGTAATTACTTATTTTGTTCAATATCCTCATTTTCATGGTGTGGCATGCTAAGAACCATGAGCATAAATAACAAATTAATCCTTTCAATAGCAATTGTCCTTGATCTGCTAGACTTACCACACCTAAGTAACAATAAAACACATATTTAAAAACATTGGTCCTTTGGGTTCATATTATAAATAACCTTGAGTCTCCATGTTCAGTACCCTCCCTAGATTGCTCCCCATTGCTGTCAAGGTAAAATTCAAATTTAGCATTCAGAATCCATAATATATTCAATTCTTGCACTTTTTTTTTTACTTCCAAAGGGTCATTTGTCCCATCATTGCCATTTGGATCTCAAACACGTTTCATGTTTTGCCACTGACATCTTTTCATAACTGATTCTGATTAACTGAACTGCCTATTGATGATAACTGAACATTACCCAGCTCTTGAAAATACCTCATCTGCATCTGTTCCATGCAACCTGAGAGGCTTCCCTTTTCTGAATATGAGGGCTTCTGAACTTCTCTGTCATCTTCCATGTTTAGCAGACACTTAACATCAATGGATGCATTATTTGGGTTCTGACAATTTTTGAGCAGTATCAAATATCATGGTGAGTAGGTTTTGTTGTTACAGAATGGATTTTATGCATACAGCTGTGAGTGTGTTAAGAATCAGTAGTTTCTCTAGCGGGTTTGTGGATTTTGTGGTGTGGTGCTCAGTTCCTCAAATCATGCACTCTACCCTGCTAAGGAGTTGCACAACTGAATGTGGGGGCTGCAAAAAGAGAAACAACAAAAGATCTCCGAATTCACAGTGACCAAAAACTAATTCAAGTAAAACACGTAATGAGTTCGAGGTGTCCCTGGTAGGGCTTGCCCATGTTGTGCTTCATGAGCTCACTGCGGCCTTGGTTCTGACACATCACACAGGCCCACTCTGCGCCGTGCACTGTGCAGCTTGATATGCAACAATGTGTGCTCCATGAAACACCCAGCTCAGATTCTAGATTCTGCTGTGTATTATGAATTATAGTGTTTTCCTGTAAATTCAAAGGGTTTATATCCGAACAGACTTGGCCATCAGGTCTTCTGGAAGATTTAATGTCGAAAAAGAAAAGAAAAAAACCCATCTGGGTATGGTGGCATAGGGTATGTAATTTCAGCACTTATAATGTCAATTCACTCTTCAATGAGAGGAAAGAGGACTGTGAGTTTGAGGCTAGCCTAGACTACATATCAAGACTGTCTCAAAAAAATAGTCAGTGTTGTAATGCTGGTCTAAACACATTCTATTTCACACCATTTTAAATCTGTGAAAGGCAGTAAAAGGAGAAGGGAAAAAACCCCACAGATTTCAGTATTTCTGCCATAAAATTTATAAATATTTATTAGCCTCTTAAAAGTGAACATATTTTGTACCCAGGAATTCACTGTCTGCTTACCTGACCAATTAAGCTGGAGAACACAAAAACTCCAGAAAAAAAATTCAGGAGTTGAAAAACAATTTCAAAAGAAGTCTGTGGCTCTGGAAGGCCCCCAATTGTAATTAAAGTTCGAACTGCCCAATAGTAACATCTCAGATACCTGTAAAAAAGATGGGTAGATATTCCTGTACATATCATTGCAATACTATTTTGCTCACACACAAAGTTCACGTATGCAGGAACTGGCAAACACTGTGTGCGCTACTGTAAACTTCTGAATAAACACTAGGACATGACTAACATTTAAACCCAAAGAGGATATTTACTGTTTTCAAATTTGGTGGTCTATTTTATCATGCTTCTTTTTTTTAGGTGAGAGATTTTTACAAAAGTTAGCACAGATGTGCTGTCTATGTTCCATAGTGAATGGACTTTTGGATGGAGTGACTGGGATGATTGGAGACATCTGGGAACACGTGTTTGAGGTCAGCTGCTTTGTCCCTTGACTCTTGCTGTTGGCTGGGTTTCTATGTTCTTCTCTATATGATCTCTTCTTGGTACACCCAAGGAAGCTTGTTCTGGTCTGGTTGGGGACAGCAGGATCATTTTCTACTTATCTTCCTCATGAAACTAGATTGGGTTTCTTCATATTCAGCCTGTCTCAAGGTACATGGACCTTTTTTTTTTATTGAAAAAAATGTTCCCCATACACTTTCCTATCATATGCTCAGATATTGTCCCTACATCCCCACCCATTCAACTCCATACCTTTTCTATCTCTCATTTTGGAAAACTAACAGTCTAGCCAACAAACAAATCAGAATAAAATAAAGAACAGACAAACCAAGAAACACACACACACACACACACACACACACACACACACACACACACACACACACACCATAAGAACATAAAATCAGAAATACTAATAGATAAGTTTATAGACTTAATGGCAGCCAGTTCCTCTAGAATGATCATAGCCCAAGAAGAAGATAAAAAGGTTCTTATAATCCAGAAATCCCATAACATCTTAATTTCTTATCCTGTTATACTTGTCAAGCAAATCCCTAGTTTGAATTGATTGGAAGATATATGAGACTCCATCTCTCACTGAGAGGGATGGCAAAAAATTTGAGGCTATCTTTAAATTGCCAAACCAGGGCTGATGAGATGGGTCAGTAGGTAAAGATAATTGCCAACAAGCCTAACAATCTGAGTTCATTCACTGGGAATCCACACAGGAGAAGGAGAACTCCACATGCACATTGTGGTATTCCCTACCACACTAAAACAAATAAATTTAATAAAAATTTTAGTTACTAAACTAACAACATCTGGAGATTATACAGATCAAGTAAGTTTATGTTGATGAGATAACTCTTTATAATTTTGATCCAATTGTTTACACAAATGAAAAATAGAACATAAATTTGTTCACTACCTTTTCTACATAATTTTATTATACTAATGAATATTTAAATGTGAGAAGAGATAAGAACTCTTTTCTTAGTAAGGAACAACTCTTGGATAGAATAGGTAATTTATTTAGAACTTCAGAACACCAAATAAAATTATCTAACTTTGATAACACAGCCTGGGCCAGGCATTCCTACGGTATCCTTAAAAAACTCCCTGTATATGGAAGAGAGGAAAGAAGAATTATAAGAACCAGAGGTTGGAGGACCAGAGCAAAACAGTATCTTCTGGACATGGCAGGACTCCTGAGCTCTTGAGCTCCCAGCAGTTGTGGTTGCCTTCACAACATCTGCACAAGATCAAGCCAGTGAACATTCTAGCAAGAAGTAAGAAAGTGTTCATGAGCCCCACTCTGGACTCAGGAACTGTGGACAGTGGATTGCTTCTTGGGGAAAGAGAGTCACTTTTGTTTAAGGTATAGGTCTTGGCTGGCATACCACGGTTCAGTGGCTGGTCCCACACATAGGAATAAAGGCAACACAAATTGGAGTTCATGTTTTTATTTTTTAGAAAAGACATTAAGTTGGGGTTAGTAGTCAGGTGGATATGGGAGGAGCTAGAGAGAGGAGTAACAAATGATCACAATATGCTTTATAAACATTCTCATGGGATTAATAAAAATAAATTTAAAAATCCAAAATTTTATAGATAGGCATTTAACTCAGGTGGTCTCAGTTTTTTTTTTTTTTCTGGTATTCATGACAGGTTAGAACTTTTTACAAGTTCTGTCTTAGTTAAGTTTTTATTTTTAAAATAGAAGTACTAAATGACTCAGTTGTATTACTCTTGGGTATATTCCCAAAGGACTCTGTAGTCTACCCCAGAGACTTTTGCATATCCATGCTCATTGATGCACTATTTCGAAACAGACAGGAAATGGAATAAGCTTGGATTTCTACTAGTAGATGAATGGATAATGAAAATGTATATAATAAAGTTAAATATTATTTGACTATAAAGAAAAATGAATTATGAAATTTTCAGAAAAAAATGAGTGGAACTGGAAAATATTACATGAAGCAAGGGAACTCAAACTCAGAAAAACATATACTGTATGTTCTCTCTCGCATGCAGATCCCAGCTTCTAACTGTTAAATACATGCATCTAGGTGGGGTTAATGATAGTAAACACCACGATACTAGAAAGGGGTCCATGAGATGAAAAGGGTCTTTAAGCAGAGGGTTGGACAAGACAACAGGACATGTGAGATAGTAAAGTGGAAAAGGAATATTGGGGACAAAGGGGCAGAGTGAGGAAGATGGGACAGAAAGGTGGAGAGGAGGAGGGTGGATGTAAACCCACCAAAATAGAGTATGCTCAAACATTCCATTAGGAAAACTGCCAGTTCATAGGCCAATTAAAATACTAAAATAAAGCATGGAGTGGGGACAGAGCTGAAGAGATTGCTCTGTGGAAAAATTCCTTGTCCACAAGTTTGACAACCTGAGGTCAATCCTTGGATCTCATGTAAAGGTAGAAGCAGAGAAATGACTCCATAAAACTGTGCTCTGACCCCATATGTGTGTATGCATGCCTCCTAATAACAATTAATAACAAATTAAAAACAGGCTTCATTTCTTTTTCTAGTGAGTCACACAGAACAGGAACACTTTAGTACTTTATGACTGTGTTAGTCATTGAACAAAGGTAATCATTTTTAAACGCTAAGAAGAGTAGTTTTATAAAGAATGAAATAAACTGGTGTTGAAATTACTACTCAAAATCAAATCTATAAGTAAATTATTTTCAAATACAATGCATTTTAAAGGATATGGGATATTTTTAACCTGGCAGATATAGGAATAATCATCACAACAGAAACAGTAACAAAATCCCATTCACTTTTTGGGGAGAGTTTATAACTATTGTGTCAAGACAATAAAAACATCATGAAGTAAATGTCCAGAAGGCCCCAACTCACTAACAGTGGACTCGATGCCAAAGAGATTGAAGCACAAAAGTGAGTTTATAGGTTGCATTGAACTTTTCTAGTTCCAATTTTAAGTGTTCTATCTGGGTGATATTTTATTTGTGCCCTAACAAATAAAACTTATCTGGGTATCAGAGGTCAGAGCCAACCACTAGATTAGATATAGAGGCCAGACAGTGGTGGCACACATGCCTTTAATCCTATCACTTGGGAGGCAGAGTTCCATCTGGATCTCTGTGAGTTCAAGGCCACACTGGGAACAGAGTCAGGTGTGGTGGCACACACATTTAATCCCAGCACTTGAGATCTCAAGTCTTTGCTTGGGAAGGACACACGCCTTTAATCCCAGGAAATAATATGGCAGGACACAGAAAGATATATAAGGTGTGAGAAAACAGGAACTAGAGGCTTTTAGCAGCAGTTCAACGGAGACCCTTAGGGGTAAGGACTCAGGTTTTCAGTCTGAGGATTCGTGGAAACAGGATTGGCTGAGGAGTTGGCGAGTTGAGGTTGGCCATGGCTTGTTCTGTTTCTCTGATCTTTCAGCTTTTACTCCAATATCTGGCTCCAGTTTTGTTTTGTTTTGTTTTTTTAATTAATAGGACCATAGCAATTCATCTTACATCTATCACCAAGTTTATTTTGGTCACAGGTTTTCAACCTGTTTCCTTAAACTGAGGTTTCTTTAAACTGAGGAAACATATTAAACTTAATATATATCGAGTGGGAAGGGACTAGATATTTTTCCTATGTGCTCAATTCTATTATACATCATTTGTGTTAATAGGAACAAACACAGTAATATCTACTTTCACCTTCTTATTTATAGATGTTAAAAATGACAGTTAAAAATGAAATGCTGGCATTGATTTTCCAAGTCTCAAGGGTTGGCCTTGAACTTTTAAAATATTAAATAGTATGCTACGTTAATTGGAAATTTTCTGCCCTGATGCTTTGTGGTTTATTTTTGGATTCTTTACTCAGACATGTCTTGCACACCCAGACATGCCCAACCAAAGGTAAGATTTGTAATTTAATTAGATGGCATCATATTGATTTTCTAGGATTAGCTTAATTAGTCAAGGGTGTCCATCTCTAATATCTACACTCCAGGCAGATAAATCTTTTCAAGGAGATTCCATCTGGTGGATTTAATACACAGACACTCTATAAATATTTAATGCATGACAACACACAGCTCCAAGTTAAAACAATAAGAGAATGATTGAATTTAAAGAAATTGTGAAAATTAGGAATTATGCCTCTGTGAATATATAAGGAACTCAAGAAACAATCTGATTAAAAATTGGACAAATAATCTAAACAAATATTTCTGAAAAGATGTTCAAGTAACCAAAAAGTATAAAAACCTCCAAGTCATTGATCACTAGGAAAGTGTAAATTAAACTTATACTGAGGTATTGTCTTACTCATTAGAATGTCAATGATTAAAAAGACAATATTTTTCATTTTTGAGATGCCTGCATTCTGTTTTCTATACTAATTTGCAGTCCCTTGATAGTACATGGACATTCTTGTTTTTTCTGCCACCTTTCCTTTGTTCTCCCTTTTTGATTACTGCCATTCTAGGTGGGGCAATATGATACCACACTGTAGTTTTGCTATGTATTTACTAACCATCTCTCTATATGCCTTCATTCAAGAAATGTCATTTAAATTCTTGTTTATTGACAGCTTTTGGTATTAAATTGAAGGAATTTCTCATATTTGTGACTTTAACCCATTATTAAGTATATGGTTTGTAAATATTTCCTCCAGTTTGGGAGGTTGTGTTTGTATTTTGGTGATAGTTTTGTTCTTAGTGCAGACCATTTTGAATGCGAAGGAAACCTGTGTGTCCACCATTGCTGTGCTTGTGTTTGAGGGGCCATTTTGAACATGGCCCAAGGAAGATCATGGAGCTAGCCCACTCTGTTTTCTTCTAATAGTTTGGAGTCTCACATTTGTGTACTAAATCCAGTTACTTGACTTTTGTGAAGGGCATAAATAAGCTATCCCTTGGATTTTGATAGGGTTTGCCTGAGTGGGTCACCTTTGAACAATAATCACTCATCTAATCTGTGAACCCAGGTGTCATTCCATTGATTTGTTTCTGCTTCACCTGCTTTCATTCTCATGCTGTAGTTTTCAGTGTACGTGTCTTGGACTGCTTAGTTGTTTTTTTTTTTTTTAATTTCTATTTGGTATTAATGTAAACAGGATCATTTCTTTATTCTGGAATTTCTTATAAATGTCATCACAAAGTATGTATGCTTTGTGTAGCTATTTCCCATTATTTTGAGAGTTATTTTGCCCACATTATTTTTTCAAATATCTGAATAGCATCTATTGCATGTATATACTGCACCTTTTAAAAACATCCTTATGTCTATGGATAAACACATTGGTTCTATGAAGTTTCTGATTATTGTGAACTTAGTCATTTATTGAAAGCATATTTACATTCTTTTTTCTTTCTTTTTATTTGTTCTATGTGTCTTTTACAGCATGTATCTTGATCCCATTCATTTTCTCATCCCTTCACATCTGCCCTCTGCCTCTGCATCCGCCCCCCAAATAAAGCAATATTTAAGAGAAAGAAGGAAGAAAAAAGAAAAGGAGAATTAAAAATCTTGTCATAGAAGCTGCAGTGTGACACAGTGACTCACGTAATAAGCTCCTTTGTCCATGTACCTTTCCTTGCAAGTGTTCACAGCAAAGCGTCATTGGTCTGGTTCGAGGCTTCTGGTTTTTATTACACTATTTATGCTGGGCCCTCAGTGGGACTCTTCTTGGATATTCTGCTGCTGTCCAGTGTTGCAGAGATTCTGCAGATTTGGGTCTGTGTGCCAGGTTCCTTAAGGTGCTCCAGTAGATTACAGATAGGGCGGATGTTTGGGCGGCCAAGTCATTACCCTGGTTCTCGGCAGGGGTTGGTCCACCCACCCAGTTCTGCCCTGTTCTCACCAACAGGTGAGCTCTCCAGCATTGCCCTGGCTAGTTCACACGTTGCAGCGATGAGTAAGGGCAGAGAAAGTTCTCCTTTTACATCTTAGGGTTGGTTCTCCCACACATACACCATCAGGGCCAGCTCTATTGTGTTGCCCTGGCAAGGTGCTATCTAGGCGAGGGGCATTGCCACTTTCCTGAAACTGCATCTGGTAAAGGGGGAGGGTCAGCTTTCTTGTCTGTTGCAGAAGGTAAGGGGCAAAGAGCAATGGGGGGCATCTCTCCCCCACCCACACCAGTGCATGAAAATGAGTAGTGGGGACTGCTCTCCCATGTTTACGACTTTGGTGCTGGGCCACCCACACCTCTGTCAACAGGGTTGGCTCTATTGTGTTACACAGGTGAGGTGCAGGGCCTGGTCTCCCAAGTTTTACAGTTGGTGGGGGGCAGGGCAGCTTTCCTGCTCTTATGAACCTCTTGGGCCAATTCTCCTATCTGCCTCAGGCGTTCATGGGGGTGGGGGGGCAACTCTCCCCTGCCCATGCCGCCACAAAACAGATGAGTAATGGGGACATCTCTCCTATGCTCACCACTTCAGGGCTGGTTCACCCATACCTGCACCAACAGAGATGGCATTATTGCTCTGCCCAGTCAAGGATCAGGGTTGCTCTCCTGAGTGTTGAAGCTTGTTTGGGACAGGGACAGTTCTCCCATCTGCCTTAATCATTGATGGGCAAGGGCGGGAAAAGGGCTTCTCTCCCCAGCCCATGCTGCCATATGGCAGATGAAGGGTGGGGCCCTGTCTCACGATTTTCACAATTGCCTCAACCTGTGCTCTCATCAAAAGGGTCAGCTCTGCTATGCTGCGCAGATGAAGTTTGTGTTTGCAGCTGTGTTTGCAGCTGGTCAAGCAGCCAGCCTCCTCACCATTTCTGCTCATTCTAATAGTGCCCTTCTGACTGGTGCTGTAAGTTGCCAGGTGGGCTCATGTTTTCTCCTCGGAGCTCATGGAAGACAGACCTAGTCCTGCGTTTGGGTCTGCGTGTTCCACTCAGTTCACCATGATGCTGGGATGGGCCATGCTTCCTTATCACAAAGAGATCACTATAGTTCTCAACTGCCAGGCACCATAGGCTGAGGTCCTCCTACCCCAGCCGCATGGCATCGGGTAGAGGGTAGAGGCACTGCTGGAGTCCGAGGTAGGTCAGGGTTAGAATTCCCAGCCCATGCTTGGCTGAATTCCTATAGTTGCCATTTTAATTTTTCATAAAGTTAGTCAAATCAAAGTAAATACACGAATCACTTCCCATCCTAAATCCATTTTGTTTATAAATGTACAGGATTGATTTTAAACTTTCTAGGGCCATGTTTATTCTCTGTCTCTGTCTCTGTCTCTGTCTCTCTCTCTCTCTGTTTCATAATCACTGGGCCTTTGAATATAAGATTGTAAAAAAAACCCACTTCTAACAGTTAATGAAAAGGGAGGCCATGATTTGAAAGAGAGCAAGGAGGAATATAAGCGATGGTTTGGAGGGAGGAAAGGGAAAGGGGAAGTGATGTAATTATATTGTAATATTAAAAATATTCAGAAAATTGGTTAAGGTTAAAAGTGAAAAAATGTAATACTGTGCACATAACTGACTTGCTTTGGGTAGTATATAATTTTGTGAGATATTTTCAATCTCTTTGCTTTCCATCCCAAGGTTGCTATGTGTTGCCCCTCAAAGGAATTCTGAAACTTACTTTTGTTCTAGTGAATACATTGTCTTCCAATGTGTCCAGTGTCATTTCACTAGAGCATAAAGTTAGTGTAGTCTGCTTTATCCCAGGCCCTTGTACTGACTGAAAGGGAAATTTTGCTATTAAATAACCCAATTGTCATGACTGAAACCTGATTCTTTTACATTAAAAATTTCAAGTGACCTGTTTCATTCATGGGACACTTGCTGCTTAAGTGTCAAGTTTTATTTATGGGTCTTGTTATTCTCTAGTTAAGTTAGTGGATATAGCTGACTCATAAACCCATAAAACCCTTCAGTTATCAATTAATTAGCTATTGCACCTGCTCCCTAAATAATTAACATTAATCATTACTAACAACTATCATTATAGTTATTAAGTTACCTTATTGCTACATTACCTAAAGCAGAGGCTTCCAATCTTTTTTTTTTTATTGTGGTTCAAAGTAAGAATCAGATTTTGCCGACCAACCTAGGATATACATACATACATACATACACACATACACACACACACACACAATCACACATAACCTGAAAGTAGAAGAGGAAGTAGTTGAGAAGAGGACGGGATCAATGGGAGTGGGAAGAGGATAAGCAAGGGTATTGGGAGGTGTGGATATGGCTAAAACGCATGGCATACCCTCATGAAAAGATGCCATATATAAATCCATTATTATGGACAACTGATATACGCTTATAAAACCTCAGACAAATTCTGGCTTATGAACCTTCATATACCCAAACTGAAAATTGAGAAGAACAAATAAAAGTCTCTTTCAAAATTACAACTCACTTGTTTCCTTCGCCATTATAGACCCATTTAGTTGTGCCAATTCCTTCATAGTCTGAGGCCCAGTAATAAACACAGGCATTAATGTGCAGCAGGAACAGCAAGTAGCCAGTTGTCCGGATGACTCTGTCAGGGAGAATAAATGGAAAGTAAGGGTGACATTGTTTCAGGAAAGCAACTGATTCCAACATTTTCATTTGCTCTATGTCTCCTAAGAGCCATCTTGCTTTAGATTTGCCAAGTGTCAACTCTCATTTGCACAGTAGAAAGAGAAGGTGACATCACATGTTGTCTGACTGAAGAGTCTTGAATGGGCTTGACAGAGTGTAAAAAAAGTCTTCATTTCTTTGCACAGATGGTGTGAGTCAAGTCTGTGAAAGACACGCCTCAAGGGTCACTTCTTCATTTTGAATCCCATAAAATATGCCACACTGATTTACCTGGATATTGGAAAGGCTCACAGGACTTCATGCTGTGATGAACTGTGACTGAAGGTCTCTGTGCTCATGAAGTTCAGAATGACAAATGAGTGAAATTTAGACTAGGCATGAGTTGTCATGAGAGATGGAGAGCTGACATGCAGGAGTATGCTTGTCTCTTATTGTTTAAATGGAAACACAATAGGTCCTTTTTTCTACTATGGCTTCCTTACTTTAATCTGACTTGAAATAACCCAATTTGCTTTGGATCATGCACTTATTTTATATAGCAAAATAGAAAATGTCCTACATTTTTGAACAGTGTGGTCATTGTCTTCTAAATGCTGTCTAAAATATTTTGCCATCACTTTCTCTACTTCCTCCAAATTTACTAATGATACTCACCTGTAGATATATGCTTTATCCATTATAGACTCGAGGCGATTATTAAACTCAATGAATGAAGTGTACTGTAAAAGAAATAAGCAGAAGAAATTCAAAAGCAATTTAACTGCATGTTTATTTAGATAAATTTATATAACATATTTTATTCATTGGAAATAATTTTATTCATGTCTTTAAAAACATGTCATATGGGATTTTCTTTAAAAATTTTAAAAACATATGTCATTAGTGGGATTTTCTCTTGACAGTGCATTTTAACACTTTGCCAAACTTATAGAGCTTATTACTTTATTATATTTCTATCCTTTGGTTACAGTCTTATTTGTGATGCTTGTTGAAAATCACCAGTGGGTTTCTTTGTAATGCATATAATAAAGTTCTCTTTTTCAATGATTAAAATCATATTCCCAAAACATAAATGAAAGAAGAAAAATACATTGTTGCTAACAATAACTTTATTTTTAAGGAAGAGGTGGCAAATTGTATATATAGTTTTCAAAATACAAAGTCCACGAAGCATTAGTTATCTGTTATCTGAAGGTTCAGTGGCTTCATGTGATCTAACCAAATAGAGTTGGTGCTCCCTTAAGCTTCTTTCTTAAATGTGGCACATTTACACACAGGGATATTTACTCAGCTGTTAGGAAAAATGAAATCATGACATTTTCAGGTAAATGGATGGAACTAGAAAAAATTTTACTGAATGAGGTAACTCAGGCACAGAATGACAACTGCTGTATGTTTTCTTTTTATTTCTACTTTTGTCTCGGCTCTTACTTCCTTTGGATATTCTTTTCCCATTCTTTCCTCCCTTCTTCATTTCTTTAGGTAATAGAGCATGGAATAAAACCATGGAGTCACCATGAATCACAGAGCTAAATGCCAGCCCTATTGCTGATATGTATTTATTGTTACATGACTCTGGAAATATCTGCTTTGTACCTTGGCTCCTTACCTAAAAAAGAACATAATAAGAAGTAGCAGCGGGGTGGTGGGGGTGCATGCCTTTAATCTCAGCACTCGGGAGACAGATAAGACAAAAAAAGGAGATCAAAGGGATACAAATTGGAAAAGAAGTAAACTTTTTACTATTTGCAGATGATATGATAGTATACATAACTGACCCCAAAAAGTCTACCAGGGAACTCCTACAGCTGTTAAACTCCTTCAGTAAAGTGGCAGGATACAAGATCAACTCAAAAAAATCAGTAGCCCTCCTATACACAAATGATAAAAGGGCTGAGAAAGAAGTCAGAGAAACATCACCCTTTACAATAGTCACAAATAATATAAACTACCTTGGGATAACACTAACTACAGTGAAGGACCTTTTTGATAAGAACTTCAAATCTCTAAAGAAAAAAATTGAAGAAGATATCAGAAAATGGAAGGATCTCCCATGCTCATGGATAGGTAGGATTAACATAGTAAAAATGGCGATCTTACCAAAAGCAATCTACAGACTCAATGCAATCCCCATCAAAATCCCAACACAATTCTTTACAGACTTGGAAAGAAAAATACTCATCTTCATATGGAAAAACAAAAGACCCAGGATAGCTAAAAGAATCCTGTATAATAATGCAACATCTGGAGGCATCACCATCCCTGACCTAAAGCTCTTCTATAAAACCATAGTAATAAAAACAGCTTGGTACTGGTATAAAAACCAACATACAGACCAATGGAATCGAATTGAAGACCCTGACATTAATCCATGCACGTATGAACACCTGATATTTGACAAAGAAGCCAAAACTATACAATGGAAAAAAGAAAGTATCTTCAACAAACTGGATGTCAATATGTAAAAAATTATAAATAGATCCATATCTGTCACCATGCACAAAACTCAAGTCCAAGTGGATCAAAGATCTCAACATAAATCCAATTACACTAAACTTAATAAAAAGAGAAAGTAGGAAGTACACTTGAATGCATTGGCACAGGAGATCACTTCCTAAATATAACACCAGCAGCACAAACACTGAGCACAACAATTAATAAATGGGACCTCTTGAAACTGAGAAGCTTTTGTAGGGCAAAAGACATGGTCAATAAGACCAAAAGACAGCCTACAGAATGGGAAAAGACCTTTACCAACCCCACATCTGACAGAGAACTGATCTCCAAAGTATATAAAGAACTCAAGAAACTAGACATCAAAATACTGAACAATCCGCCGGGCGTGGTGGCGCACGCCTTT